TCCAGCTCAGTCCTGCCCACAGCGCAAGCCCGACTGGGAGCGAGGCGGACGGAGAGGCCGGGAGGAAGGCTGCTGGATGGTCGTGTCCCTGAAGGTTAGCTCCCAGCACCCTGCACCCTCCCAAACGTGTGAGAGAATTAAAAGAACTGCAAGCGGAAGAGGCACCCACGGCCCACTGCCGTGACAACACGGGGACAGGCGGCAGCTACGGCCTGTGCAGCTGAGCCGGGCGGCCAGGGCCTCACTGGGCCACTCGGAACGCGGACCTGGGGCCTGTGTTTGAGCTCAGCTTCCTCCAGGTGACAGTCACACCGAACAGGACACGGCGAGGCCGCCCTCAGTGCCTGTTCCTGACCCGCGTGAGCCTGGGCGATTCTATAAACTGCCGCCCCCCTGACCTGCTCAGAAGGGGCCGCCAACTGCCGATGGCCTGGGTGAGGCCCCAGGAGGGACCTGGGCAGGGAGAGGGCAGCCCCTCTGCGCTGGGGCCCCGACCAGCAGGCCGGCGGAGCCGGAAGGAGGACGCAGCCTGCGCTCGGCCACCCACCTCTTCCTCAGCGTGGACTCGCACACCTTGACCACGCTGATGACCTCCTTGACGGTTCTCCGGAAGTCGTGCATCCGGGCTGCGACCAGAAGTGCTGGGAAGGAAGCCGGGGTGAGGCAGCAGAACAGGTGCCTGCGACCAGACGTCAGCTCCCTGCACTGGGCGCTCTGTCCTATCCGTGGTGGCTCAGGCCAGAGCGGTGTCAAACCCTGAGATCCACACACCGCTGCCGGGCTCACACATGCACGCGTGCTGCCCACCCTCGGCGGTGAGGCAACCAGCGCCCGTTTCCTGTGGACCCGGAGCCGCAGAGCCATCAGCAGCGCTGGCCTGCGTGGGAGTGGAACTGAGGCCTCGGGGCCCGGGACAGGGGAGGGCCTGTGCTGGGCGGGTGGCCTGGCGGCGGGGGGCTGTTCCTGGTCTGCAAACTCAGAGACCAGGCTCTAGACAGAATGACCAAGAGCCTCGGGCAGCGTGTGCCCGCTGGAGCTGATGGGGGCGCAGGGGCCCTTGGCGTCCCAGGAAGGAGTGGGCCGTGGGCACTGGGCACGGGGCCAAGAGGAAGGCAGGGGACTCCAGGTCCAGGGCTCCAACAGACCCAAAGGCGTCTGTGGGCAGCTGCCACTGAATACACTGGACAGCTGACCCCTTCGGGCCAACCCGAAAGCAGGCACCCCTGGCCGGTGGAGGGCACCTGGGAGCAGGTAGGAGCCCGAGAGGGTGCAGGAGGCTGGGAGGCAGCTCTGGAGACAACCCGGCACCCCCGGCGGCAGGGTCAGGACAGAAG